TAAAGGAGCTGCAATAGCATATGCAGCATTATATTTTACCATTACCATCCATTAAATAGGAGCCATCAGGAAACCATAAAAAACGCTCACTGGTTAGAGGAGTGTCCTGTAAACTGTCATGGGGAGTCAAAAGGTAACCTGTCACTTGCTAGCAGTCCTGAGAGCATCAGAGTCCAAATGCAGTTCTCATTTCGAGATCTCACACATTAGGTATCTGACCTGAGTCTGGGTAAACCGCAGGGTTTCACTGGAGATATTATGTCCCTTTATGGCCCAAAGTTGTAACAGGTAGATGCTATCTTCCTGTGAAGATGGTTGAGACAGGGAACAGAGAACCAAGTCATCTACATACTGTAACAAAGTAGAGCCTGCAGAAACATACTATCATCCAAATCAGCCTCTAACCTTTTGTGAAAATAGAAAGGACTCTCTGTGTAACCTTGGGGCAATACTGTCCATATGGATTGCCATTCTTCCCAATGAAGGCGAAAAGAAATTGGCTGTCCTTACCATCTAGAATCATAAAAACTGTACTGCATAACGCTATTACAGTGAAAACTTTGCCTTCAGGGGAATGAATGTCAGTAAGTTTGTTCGTGGGTTGGGAATAGGGTGCTGAGGTTTGGGGAGGGGTTGTTTTTGACTTTTCTTTTCTTTTCCTTTCTCTTCTTTTCTTCTCTTCTCTTCTCTTTCCTTTTCTTTCCTTTTCTTTCAAGAAGAAATAGCTTTTTAACTCAATTTTGACTCAACCAAGTTTGGGGATACCACTGTGGCCACCGAAGTTCCTGAAAGTTTGTAACAAGAAACCTCACTAAAAATGGATTCGGGAGGTGTCTGCAGGGAGAGCTCTCATGCCCTACTACTCCTACTAAATTGCAGACTCAACAAGAAGAAATGAACTTGACCTTAGAAGGATTTGACTTTGAACAAGGATACTGCTCTACTAAGGATACTGCTCTACTATACCAGCCAGAAAAAGAGACACTTTCCTTTTCCACCTGGCAATGCCTAGACAATGAAAAGCCACTGTACTTCTGACACCCAGTTTATGCCAAGGGACTTTTAATTTATAAAAGCCTTCCCAACTCCTCCCCCTTCTCCTAAAAAAGCATCCTTCTCTTTTGTTCCCTTGTCTATAAGTTTTGTTGCAGCTTGATTTTCCAGGATCCAAATTCTCTTTATTCATGAATACATACATCTGTTACACTGGCAGTTTTACTTTTAAGGTTAACAAGGTCTAAAATACTTTTGTTTAAAGCAGTCCATTTAGTTAGGAATGCACCTACAGAATGATCATAGATTTTAAACATAAAACAAGCCACAGTCCCAAAGGGGAGGGGTACCCCAAAAACATTCTGATCCTGGGGGTCTCATTTTTTGAGGTTTTCCTGAAACAATCTAGTTCCAGAAGGAATCATATCAGAGGCCAGCCAGTTCCAAGAGGAATAGTCTAGTATGAAGCAGAACTCGGACCCAAGGCTAGTTCATTTCCAATAGGCACAGTTCTAACCAGAACAGTCCAATCCCAAAAAGAATTTAGAGAGAAGACCTATGCAGATACAAATGGTACCATTCTGACAGGAACAGTTCAATCCCAAAGCAGAATAAGACCAAAGGCCAAGGCAGTTCAAACTGTTATTTTTCCAACAGGAACAATACAATCCCAAAAGGAACTAGACCAGACAAAGCAGTTCCATTAGGAACAGTTTGATTCTGAGAAGGAATCAGATCAAAGACCAAATGAATATTCACAGAGATGAAAGAAAGAAAGAAAGAAAGAAAGAAAGAAAGAAAGAAAGAAAGAAAGGAAGGAAGGAAGGAAGGAAGGAAGGAAGGAAGGAAGGAAGGAAGGAAGGAGGAAGGAAGGAAGGAAGGAAGGAAGGAAGGAAGGAAGGAAGGAAGGAGGGAGGAAGGAGGGAAGGCAGGCAGGCAGGCAAACCTTAAAATAGATCCTAAGGAAGGAAGGAAGGAAGGAAGGAAGGAAGGAAGGAAGGAAGGAAGGAAGGAAGGAAGACAGACCTTAAAATAGATCCTGAATAAAGCCTAGAGAGCACAGACACAAATAACAGAACTGGAAATCCAGGAGAAAAGCTTACTCTCAAACCCCAGGGTCAGTGAGAAAACAGTGAGCCCAAACCCCTCCATGGACACCACACCTGCTTGCCCACCAGAGCAAGACGCCTTGGGGGTCCTCTCTGGATCCCCATACGTGTCACCAAGGAATGTTATTTGTAAAAATATAAACTGCCAGTTATTTTAGCAGCAAAAGATGGGCTTCTTTGGGAGTAAAGAGAATTGCAATCTTGGAAAACCAAGCTGTGGCAAAACCATAGGCAAGTCCAGGGAACAAAGGAGAGGTATATTTTTAAGGAGAAAAGGGGTAAGTTGGGAGGGAGGTTTTAAGGTAAAAGTCCACTGGGTGTTATATGGAAACCAACTTGACAATAAACTATAAAAAAAAAACTGAGCACATGCAAGTACAGCTTATTCTCAGTCCTGCCCCCTTTCCCTATCCTGTCTGAGAAAGTTCTACTATTTCTACTATTGCTGAGTTCACTGACACCTCAAAGGGCAGCTCTCAAATGTCCCCTGACTCCTTTACTCACCACAATGTTGATGGGGGACAAGTTCCTTGTGCCACCACCACGCATCTTACATGTATCCCCTTAGAAAGAAAAATCACTTCTGGCTGATTGTTTTCTCACTTAGTGAACAGTGGGTGCCCTTGTGTATTGGCCTTGGACTAGAATGAGGAATGAGTGCTCTCCTGTATTTGCTAAGGCAGGAGCTAATGAAATATTGATCATGCCTCAGGAAAACTAGACTCATGGACATGGAGGTACAAGCTATATCCTCAGTATGAAAGCAGGGTTTTCTTGACTTTGAAAATAGTAGAGTTCTTCCATTATTTGGGGGGATGGTAGCCACAGTGGTGCATGTTATCAGGACATTACCCACTTTGGGGAGACTATCTGGAAGAAGTCTGAGGTAGCCAAAGGACATGCTGTCCCTCCTCCCCCATACTTTAGAACCTTAGATACAAAGAACAATCTTGAATATTTTGCACCAGTGCTCTGTGGGGTCAGAACACATCCAAAAGGCCAATGTTCACCTTGTTGTTTGCCTTCAAAGGAGAATGCCAGAGTAGAATGACCTCATGATTAGGATACCAAAGGATAATAGATGTGGATTTCTTCTTCTTACTTTTTTTTAAAAAATTTTATTTATTTTGAGAGAGAGAGAGAGAGAGAGAGAGCAAGAGCAAGGGAAGGGAGACAGAGGGAGACAGAATCCCAAGCAGGCTTCACAATGTCAGCCCAGATCTGATGTAGAACTCAAACTCATGAATCATGAGATCATGACATGAGCCAAAATCAAGATTTGGATGCTTAACTGACAGAGCCACCCAGGCACCCAACTTCTTCTTACTTTTTCATGCTTTCTGTAAAAACACTGTTTCTGAAATAATCTAGCCACAGAAGATAAAAGAATCTACAGTGATCAGTTGCCAACCACGTATCTTAACCCATGTAAACCCCTTCCCACATTCCAATTCGCATTCCCCCCAGGTTCCTATTCCTGACTTTGGAGACTATTCTCTTTAATGCTCATAAGCTGTTATTATTTTTTCTCCAAATTTTTGGAGTATTTTCATTTATTTCAAAAATTTGTTACAGAATTACCACCCTGAGGAATGAAGCACACCTGTGAAATCAGAACACTCTTGTTCATAAGATAGTAGCTATAAAAGTACTAGGAACAAGACAGTCTTGTTAAGGCACACACATCATGTAAACCTTAAAGAAAGTGTTATCATCCTTGATTTGAGGTACTGCTTTTCAATATCCAATAGTCTGGCAAATCACTACAGGAATCAGCTGGCAGGGGAAATTACCATAGTAAAGCCATTTCCATCACACACACACACACACACACACACACACACACACACACTGACATATTGTAGTTCTAAAAAGGTAGGGTGCGAGAACACTACTAGATTTGATGTGCTAGGCATTTTATATATTGTCCCCATTAAGAACATGAAGGAAAAACAGATCTCAAGATCCCAAGCACAGCCTGATGCAGACCAAGTTCATGTAGCTTCCAACCTAAGGGTTCTTCCCACTACTCAGTGTCCTCAAATATTTTATGCTGAGGATTCTGTTCCTCAAGTGATTTCTTGCCCAGTAAGGCTAGAGGGACGTCTGATAAAGAAACTCATCTTGACTGGGGCCCATGTCTCCCCATCACAGAGCTCCATGATACTTTAAAAATTTGCCTAATTATATATAACATGTATTAACTCTAACCTTCAACAGAACCAAAAAGTAGAGACTTCAGGAAAAAGAGGCTAATGTAACAATCAAATCAAACATTCCAAACAACTCCTTGGCCACAGTGAGCTTCATAAACATTCCCTCCCACTGGGGGCCCACTGGGAAACACACAGAGGGAGGAGCCCTGCCCACACCCCAGTCTCAGCACAGGACCTAATTCTTTGTTTCTTCCTCTTGAGATTCTCCTAAAAAGGCAAATGGGTCTGTGTCCTCAGAGGACACAGTTCCCCTGTGCAAGCCACTTCACTGCCTTTTGGAAGAAAGCAACTTTCCCATTCTGCAGGGAAAGAAGGATACACTCCCAAGATAATTCCTTTTTTCCTGTTGAGGTTTGCCCAGAATCATTTTAGTTCTCCTACCATGAATCTCCAGCCCCTATTGACCTATTATCCACACCCTTCTTTGGGGAGCACAGCATTTCTGGGGAAGCTGGAAGCAACGTTGGGCTCAGAGGAGGGACCCTAAGAGGACAAAGTAGTGGTTCGCCTCAGGGTGCAGCCTTGGGAGATACAGATTTGGTATAGTGTCATTAGGAACCTTCTGGAACCGTGGCCCCTCCTTTCATAGAGGGGCAGAGGCGGGGCCTCAGACTCCAGAGGTCATAGGACTAAGAGTTACAGTTTTCCTGGCATCTCTGGCTGTGGCCAGGCCTCTGCACCACTAGCCCTCGGTGTTGTCCACAGCACCGTCCGCTCCACACACAGCGCCTCCCTAGAACCCCACACAGTCATGTCGACACACATCCGCGCAGCACTGGTGACCGGGGCCAACAAGGGCATTGGCTTTGCCATCGTGCGTGACCTGTGCCAGCAGTTCTCCGGGGACGTGGTGCTCACATCGCGGGACAAGGCACGGGGACAGGCTGCCGTGCAGCAGCTCCAGGCCGAGGGCCTGAGGCCGCGCTTCCACCAGCTCGACATCAACGACCTGCAGAGCATCCGTGCCCTGCGTGACTTCTTGCACAAGGAGTACGGGGGCCTGGACGTGCTGGTCAACAACGCGGGCATCGCCCTTGACAGTAAGGACATGGGAACTCTTAGGCCAGGAGACCTCCCTTAGGGGACCGCTCAGTGTGGGTTTGGGGCTGGTCTGAACAGCTACTCTAGGGCCCGGAGCTCTGAGGGGATCTAGAACAGCCTCCCTAGGGAAGAAAACGGACTGGAGGCACAGGGAGAGCAGAATCCTCCAGAAGTTACAAGCCTTTCCAGCCAGAGGACCTTGGCCCTGCCATGGATCAGACTTTCAGGAACCTCACCCAGGTTTTGCAAAGTTTCTGCCTGATCAGATCTGAGTCATTTGGTAAATGTTTAACCTACTTTGCAATAAACAACATATTGTAAACAAGGACACACAGAAATCCCACTGTGGATCCTTCCCTTAGACTCCTCAACTGGTGCCCACTTACAAAGCTACACAGCACCAACCAGCCAGATAATTCACACCGGGACAATAGTGTTATCTAACACAGAAATGACTGAAAATTCACAAGTTTGCACACACAAAAAAAATTATTGTCACCTCGTGGAATATTCTCAGAATGCAACTACTTACTAATATATTCTCCTTCTCCCCTACCAGTGCATGATCACACACCCTTACATACTAAAGCAGAAGTGACGATGAAAACAAACTTCTTTGGTACCAGACACATGTGCACAGAACTGCTGCCTCTAATGAAACCGCAAGGTAGGTGTGACAAGGTGCCAGGCAGTGATGTTTCTGACAATATCTGGCCCCTGACTCTCTGACCTCATCTACAGGCCCTGATCCCTCTCCTTACTCTGCCAGCCTGGTCTCCCTGCTATGATCCCACCAGACAGGTGCCTTTCTCCTCAGGACTCTGTACACACAGGTCCAGCACTCAGCAGTGCCCTCTGTCTGCTGGCCTTTCACAACTGGCTCTTTATTCTACTTCATGTCTTTATTTCAAACTCTCCTCACAGAGGCCTTTTCTTCACTCTGTGTCTCTCACAGGTGTACTTCCTGGGGGACTCCTTCCTGGACCTTTCTTTTTGCTCTCCCTCTTGCTGAGGATTTTATTCAGGCTGTTGGACTCTTCACTATCCAAACTTCTCAGGCTCCCCTAAAATCTGTCACCTGCCTAGAACATTCCCTAGAACATTCTCTTCTGCTTCTCCTTCTCCTCAGGATGCCCTCTTCCCTCCTCAGATCCGACCCCTCCACCCCCTACCTATACCCCCACCGAAACATCTATAATATGTCCAGATGACACTTGTACTTTCCCAATATCATCCTGGTCACCGACCACTCCATACACCCACCATGAAAAGTGAGGTCACCATGCCCACCTCCTGATTATCACTGACCAGGTCCTAACAGTTGTCCCACAGAGTTTGTCCCCAAGCTTTCTCCATTCCAGCTCTCCAACAGAGACTCAGCTGTCATTTCTGGACCATTGTAACATTCCTAAAAGATGCAGCATCTTCTGTCTTTTCCTTTCTGGTTATTCTCTGTACTCCCTGAGTGCTCACTTACTCCCAAAAGTCTATCAGGAGCAAAGTCCAATCCTGAGCACAACTTGCAGGGATCTCTGTCTTCTGACCTGCCAAAGTCCAATCCCATCAACTCCCCTCACCTTGATCAATGTTGGCACAAAACAGACTGCCATAATTCCTTGGTTGTAAGCTACTGCAATATTTACCCCCACGTTAATGTGCTAGTGGAACAACCATCATTCAGTACACTGATAAGCTGATACTTTTAGAAACATTAGTGTGTCTGGTTTGAATGAGCACATGCATGTCCAGCTTACCCTCAGCTCTGCCCCAGCTACCTCTTCCATCCTGGAAACTTCTATCACTTCTTCTACCACCGACTTCACTGGCCCCCAAATGGCAGCTCTCAAATGTCCCCAGACTCCTTTAGTCACAACAACATTGATGGGGGACTAAGTCTGTGTGCCAGCACCACGCATCCTCCACGTATTCCCCTTAGAAGGCAGAAATCACATTTCTGGCTGATTGTTTTCTCACTTACTGAACCGTGTGGGTATCTGCTGTGTAGTGGCCTTTGACCAGAATGAGGAATGAGTGCTCTCCTACATTTGCCAAGGCAGGTTCTGGTCAAATATTGACCTTGCCTCAGGAAAACAAGATTCATGGACATGGAAATGCAAGCTATATTCTCAGAGTAAGAGCAGGGTTTTATTGCTTTTGGAAATAAGAAATCTCTTCCATTATTTGGGCGAATGGCAGCCACAGTGGTTCCCGTTATAAGAACATTGCCCTCTTCGGGGAGACTATATGGGAGAAGTTTTAGTTCAATAATTTGGGCAGAAAACAAAGATAAGAATTTACAACAACCAGGTGGCTATCACCAGTCATAACCATGCAATTAGTATCAAAGTCCTAAAAATTGCTTCCCACATTCCACATCTTTTCACTCTCATTCCACAAAAATTCCTATTCCTGAATTTAAAAGACAGTCTCTTGAAATGAATAAGCTGTTGTTATTCTTATTCTCTTTAAATTGTACTCTGTATTTATTTCAAAAAGATATTAAGCTATAATCATCCCTACGGAATTGAGCAAACATTGGAAATCTGAGCACTCTTCATCAACAGCATAACCTTAAAATACTAGGTACAAATATCATCTTATTAAGGCTACTGTTACCAAGGATACCTTACAGAAGTTGTTCTCAAGCTTCATTTGAAAAGGTATTGCTTTGCAATATCCTTAGTATAAAAAAATCACTAGAGAAATTTGATGGCAAAATGACAATAGTAAAGGTATCTCCACTCACACACACACTCTGACATATTGGTTCTAGAAAGGATAGGTGGCTGGACAATTCTAGATATGATGTGCTAGGCACATTATATAGAGTCCCTGTTCAGAATCTGGAGGGATCATGGAATTCAAGGTCACAAGCACAGCTCACTGAAGAACAAGGTCATGTGACATCCAAAGTAGCGGTTCTTCCCACTACTCAAGGTCCTCAAATCATTTTCCCTACATCCCTGTTCTTCAAATGAAGCTTTACTCAGTAAGTCCAGAGAAACAGGAAATAAAAGGACTCTGCTCTATTGGGCTATTGTCTTCCTCATTCCAAGACTCCCAGGTACCTCAGGGAAAACCACAAGAGGCATATTTTAAAACTTTGAAGTGTTTTCTGAAACCTCTTATCAGCCCAGAGACTGAAGAACTGGTCCTCTTGACATCAGAAAACATGAATCTCCCAAGGAATGTGACAAATGTTAAATCATCAATTGTCAGGAGAAACAGCTTGGAATTACAGATTCTGAATAGCCGTGAGAGTCAAATACTGCCCTTGAAGCTTGTGACCACAGATGAGATGATGTCTAAAATATCTTGTGTTATGGAGATCAGTGTGGCTCTGCGTTAGGACAGTGAAGTTTGGAGAGGGAGAGATTTCCTCAAAATAGATACCTGGCCACATACAGGTAATGGTCTGGACAAACTGTTAGCCCAAAATACAAAGCAGCCCCACCAGAGCACGAATCCTTTCTTACCTGGGTGACATGCTTTTCACACTGTGACAGGCCAATTCCTTTACATGCTACCTCACACACAGTGTCACGCACTTACAGTCACACACAGTCTCTTTCTCACATGTATACATATGACACGCTCAAATGCACTCACACACCCTTATCACAAGGACATCTGGTTTGTCCATACATTCTTTTTTTTAAGTTTATTTATTTATTTTTGAGACTGGGCCTCCCAAGCAGGCCCCAAACTGTCATTACAGGGCCCAATGCCGAGCTCGAGCCCACAAACCATGAGGTCATGACTTTAGTTGAAATAAAGAGTGGGACACTTAACTGACTAAGCCATCCAGGCACTCCACCCTTAAAGTTCTTAGCACACAGGCTGTGTGCATTCCAAGTCAGGATCCTCAACACATGACACATGAAACATGAAAGCCAAGAGTCTACTCTGGAGACAAAATGTTTGTATCAAATGCTTTACTGTATAAACTTTTTAAGTACTTCCTATTCCTGCCCTCATGTTTCCTGCCCTGAGCTATCAGACCAGAAGGGTCTACCATATTACCCAGCTCTAAGGTGAAGTCTGTTGACAGCTACCCTGCCCACTTGGAGTTATGGTTAGAGCGTGAAACAGGCCTGGGGTGAGGGAATGATTGCAGTTTCTACTACAAGGAATTTATCTATAAAACCTTTCACTCCCTGTCAAGCTTCCCTCATATACACAGGAAAGCATTTTCACAGCTGATACTAGACTTCCTATGATAGACAAAACAGAATAGACAAGAGGGCATCACTTTACTATACACAGCCTACAGACAGTAGAGTTTCTCCATCTACTGACTATACTAAAGATAGATAAGAAAATGGCTCCAAGCCCCTATGAGTAAATAGTACTGTCTTTCTGGTATACCAGGTACCCAGCTCCTGTCTTATTTCACACACTTCTGTGTTCTGCAATTTTGAATCATTAATGTGTACTATTTTTATTGTGAGTCAGCCCGAAGATGTTTTTGAAAATAAGATAAATCTAATTAGAGGTACATAATAATATCTGAGAGGTGCTTAATGAAACATTTGACATATATGTTCCGTTAATCCTACACTTAAAACACTGTAGATGAAAGGAAGGACCAGAATAATGGAACCCTTTCTAAAAGGTGTTTATGTTAGAAAACTGTTACATTAATGAGGTATTTTCTAGAAATCATTTTAACTATCTCTAAACAACACTTAATGAGAGACATAAGGTCATGCATTATCTATTTCATTGAGCTTATCTGACACTGCCATTCCTTAGTGGGCTAGAGCTAGAGTTAAGTGACTCAGAGCTATGACTGTCTTTCCCAGTTATTTACATAAAATAGGTATAGTTTCCTAATGTTCTTGAAGCTCTTACTGCTCACAAATTCTCATAACCTTTCTATTAGGCTAAAGATACTCATGTAGATATAAAACTAGCAAACTATACATGTCAATATAAGTTTACTTTTAGGAATACTAGCTATATTTTTGAAAAAGAATTAGTGACTATTAGTGTGATTAACACCTTTAACACCTTTACTGAGATACAATTCATATATAATACACTTCACCCATTTCAAGAATGCAATTCAGTGGAGTTTAGTATATGGACAGAGGTGTGGAGCAATCACCACTTCAAGATTAGCACACTGTCATCACACCAAGGAGAAAAAATACCCTTAGCCTCAGCCCTCTTGGTCTCACATTCCCACTGCCATAAGCAAACCTCTAATCTATTTTCTGTCTGAACATCTACTTTTCTGGACATACCCTATATAGAGAATCACATAATGAGTAGTCATTTCTGACTGGCCACTTTATTTTGAGTAATGTTATCAAGATTCATCCATGTTGTAGCATTTCTTTTTATAGCATCTCTTTAACATGGGACTGTTCCATTGCCCCTTCCCATGACCATATTGCCTGGTGTTTTGTCTCTGCTCCCGAGTTGATGAAATCCCAACATGCAGAAAACAGCATGCACCTTAACCCACTGAGGTGATTAGTTTTTACCCAGTTATTGCAAGTGACAGCCCCTATACACATCCAGTCTGTTCTCTTTCATAAGGCATCAATAAACTGATTAGTTGTCTGTTGGTAAATAGACACTCATTCATAGAGCAGGGCCCATGGGCCCGTAAGATGTTAAGATGGTCTCAAGAGGACCTGTGAAGAAGAGTGTCTCTCTACTCATGATTGCAATGAGCACCCACTTACCTTCAGAAAACACATTCCTATATAAGGTGCTATTTTCTCTTTATGGGACATCTGGGCACTGCATTCCCCATTAGATCATTCCACCTATGTCCCGTGAGACATTATGAGTGTTACAAGGATCAAGACTGCATCAAGTCCATCACTTATACAGCAAGGCTACATTAACACTCATAGCAAACTGGTATTTGTCTCCAAAATGGACAAACCAAACGATTTTGGTATTCATGATTCTCGTGCATGCCATTCTTTGTGATTACTTGTGTTGTATTTTAGGCAGAGTGGTCAATCTGTCTAGCATAATGAGCATAGTAGCTCTTACAAACTGCGGTTCTGGACTGCAGCAGAAGTTCAGAAGTGAGATCATCACAGAGGAGGAGCTGGCGGGGCTCATGAACAAGTTTGTGGATGATGTAAAGAACAGAGTGCACCAAAGCGAGGGCTGGCCTGATATGAAAATGCTCACATATGGAGTGTCAAAGATGGGTGTCACGGTCCTGTCCAGAATCTATGCCAGGAAACTGAGTGAGCAGAGGAGGGGAGACAAGATCCTCCTGAATGCCTGCTGCCCTGGGTGGGTGAAAACAGACATGGGTGGATCTACAGCCATTAAAAGTCCAGAAGAAGGAGCAGAGACGCCCATCTACTTGGCTCTTTTGCCTTCAGATGCTAAGGAGCCTCACGGGGAGTTTGTCATGGAGAAGAAAGTTGAACAATGGGGACCCCACTCTCAGTTTCCTCCATGGGTTCCATTATGATAGTGCCATGATTTGACCAGATTACTGACAACAATGTCCTCATCAAAAAAAAGAAATAAAGGAATCATTATCCATATCAAGTACTCACACTGAATTGGCTAATAATTCTGTGAAGTCTTTTGTGATTTCTTCTGTGATATAAGTGAAGAAACCAAATGGAAATAATGACAATAATGAATATACATCATAGATAAACAATTTTAAGTAAATATCCATGTGTGCAGTTTATTCCTTGCCAACTAGCCCAAAAAACTAACAGAACCTAAGTTAAGTCAAGAGAAGGGACAGTTTAACACAGGGGTTGGTACACATAGGGTGAATGAGCCCCATAGTGATTTTTTTTTTTTGCCTGTGCAGACCAAAGGCCTCCGGTGGACCTACTCCAATCTGCTGTTTAGCTTGACAGTCACCATATACAGACCCATAAATGGGGCTGGATTTCCCTAGCCAGCATTGTGTATAAGCCTCTACTATGACATGGGCACCCCACCATGGAGAGATACCTACTGTGGTTATTAAATATCAAACTCATTGGAGAAAAAGAAGTTGTAAGGTATGAAATGAGAGTAGGCACTAGAGGTGCATCCGTAAGTCAACCTGAGACGGGGGGAAAGGAGAATATGGATTGGTATCAAGGCATATGAAAGAATTTCTGTCAATCTGCTCAAGGCAAAAGTGCTATTGATGTAGGGATAAATGGTCACCAAGTTTGTAACACAGCTCAGCAAATTCTCTACAGAAGATGGAGAACAGTAAAAAAACTCATCACTGCTGATGCTAGTTTACTGAATCCATGGGTGTCTACAGTCCTATTCTTTCCACTTTCCTTCTTCAAAGCTTTCAAGACAAACATCTGGAAACAAAAAGATCTTGGCCCTGCCACCTTATGAGTGACCTTGAGAAAAATCCTGCATGTTGCTGTATGTCAATCTCCTCAAGTGTACAATCTGGGGGGAAGTCAGAGGATTTCCAAGAGTAAATGAACTAATACAGGTGAACAGCCTGAAAACAATGGCGGTGCAAAGTACCCTCCATATGCGTTCCTGGAGTGGGGCCTGACACATCCAGGGCCCTGAAGGCAACTTCTTACTGCCCCACACCAAACCTGTCTCCTCAGGGGACCTCTGTGAATACCCACCACCTCCCACCCCTCACAGAACCATTTGTGTTGTACAGATTCCCTCCTTCCGTGATTATTTTTCACTCTTCCTCGGGGGTTTCAAGCTGACAGAAATGAGAACTGATGGTCCCTACGAGCAAGGGTAGGGTCCATCCTTTCAAAGTCTTTGCTTTCAGAATGACTATTAATTTTCTCTCTGTTATTTGGCTTTTCTAAACTGACCCATGACGCAAAACAAAATCTAGGACAAAACATTAGCATATCAACTGCTGGTTGGAAATATACCCCAGTATCACTGAGATCTTTTTCCCTTTATATTTTAAAAATAATAAATAATAATATATATACATATAACACTTAGCAACTCTGACCTTGGACAAACACAAGAAATAGACAGTATAGGCAAACAGGAGATTATGTAAACGTTAGATCAAACATGCCAAGCAACTCCTTGGCCACAGTGAGCTTCGTAAACGTTCCCTCCCACTCGGGGCCCACTGGGAATCACACAGAGGGGGGAATCCTGCCCACACCCCACTCTCAGCACAGGACCTAATTCTCTGGTTCTCCGTCTTGAGTTTCTCCTAATATAACAAGAGGCAGTTTCCCTGCAAAAGTAATTTCACTGCATCTGGGAAGAAAGCATCCATTCCTATTCTGAAGAGGAAGGACACGTTTTCAAGATAATATCTGTACTCCTTTGTTCCTGTTGACATTTCTCCAAAATAATTTTAGTTCACCTACCATGAATCTCTAGCCCCTACTAACCTATGACCAATACCATTCTTTGGGGAGCAGACCAGGCTAACCAGAACCAACACTGGCTCAAAGGAGGGATCCTAAGAGGACACAGTCCTGCTTGGCCTCAGGGTGCAGCCCTAGGAGGTATAGATTTGATACAGCATCATTAGGAAACCTTCTGGAACTCTGGCCCCTCCTTTCATAGTGGGACAGAGGTAGGGCCTCGGGGGCTAGGAATCATAGCACTGGATCTCAGAACACAGTTCTACTGGCATCTATGACTATGGTCAGACTTTTGCATCACGAGCCCTCTGTGTGGGCCACAGCACCATCTGCTCCACACACAAGGCCTCTCTTGCACTCCACACAGCCATGTGTTCAGACACCCGCGTGACGGTGGTAAGCAGGACAAACAAGGGCATCAGCTTTGCCATCGTGCGAGACCGGTGCCAGCAGTTCCCTAGGGACGTAGTGCTTACGTCACAGGACAAGGCGCGGGGACAGGTGGCCGTGCAGCAGCTCCAGGCCAAGGGCCTGAGTTCTCACTTCTACCTGCTGGACATCAATGACCTACAGAGCATCCGTACCCTGTGCGGCATCCTTTGCAAGGAGTACAGGTGCCTAGATTGTTGGTCAATAATGCAGGGGTCTTCTTTGACAGTAAGGATATGGGAACTCTTAGGCCAGGAAACTCCCTTAGGGGACCACCCAGGATGTGTTGGGGCTGCTGTCTAAATGGCCGCTCTGGGGCCATAGCTCACGAGACAATCTAAAATGTTCTCCCTAGGGCAGAAGATGGACTGAGGGCACAGGAAGAACAGAACCTTCCAAAAGTTGCAAGCTTTTCCACCCAGAGGACCTTGGCATTGCCATAGGTCAGGCTCTCAGGGACCTCACCTAGGTTTTTCCAAGTTATTCTCTGATTGGACTTTGAGCAGCCCCATGAATTTTTAAATTATTTTAAAATACATAAAATCCCCCAGGGCCATGTGCAGAGATGGCATGTGCACCTCATCTTAGCTTCTTGCAGTGGTGCCAACATACAGAGCTACACAGCATCAACCGGTCAGATAATAAATGTTGGGGTAGACTGTTCACTAACCTGCACACTACTGAGAATTGACCAGATTACACATATAACAAAAATGATATTGTCACTTTATGGAATTTTCTCGATGGCTAACACATATTAATCTATTCTCCTTCCCCGCTACGAGTTGGTGATCATACACCCTTACATATTCAAGTAGAAGTGACAATGAAAACTAACTTCTATAGTACCCGAGGCGTGTGCACAGAACTACTGCCTCTAATGAAACCCCAGGATAGGTGTGACGAGGGGTCTAAGGGGTGGTGTTTCTGACATGGTCTGGCCCCTGACTTCCTGACCTCATCTGAGGGCCCTGTTCCCTCTCCTTGCTCAGCCCCATCAGCCTTATCCTCACCGGGACAGGTGGTCTTCTCCTCAGGACTCTGTACACACAGGTCCAGCACTCAGCAGTGTCCTCTGCCGTGCTGGTCTTTCACAACTGCTCTTTCATCACATTCATGTCTTCATTCCAAACTCTCCTCATAGAGGCCTTTTCCTGACTCTGTGCCCCTTACAGGTGCAATTCCATGGGGATTCCTTCGTGGACCTTTCTTCTCCCTCTCCTTCCCTCTGTGATTTTATTGAGGCTAGTGGACTCTCCAAACTTGTTGGGGCCCACAAAAATCTGTCACCTGCCTAGAACATTCCCAGAGCTCAAGACCCACATAGTTCTCTTCCTGCCCCTCCCTCTCATCTTGATGTCCTCCCCTCCCTCCTCAAATCCCAGCTCTCCAGTCCCCCAATCACACCCCCATCTAACCATCTAAAACACGTCCAGATGACACTTATACTTTCCCAATATCATCCTGGTCATAGGCCCCACCATCCAGCCACCATGATAAATGAGGTCAGCATGCCCACCTCCTGATTATCACTGACCAGGTCCTCACAGTTATCCTTGGATTTTCCCCAACCTTCTTCATTCCAGTTTCTCCAACAGATTCAGCTGTCATTTCTAGACCACCGCAACCTTCCTAAGAAATGGTGCTTCTGTCTTTTCCTTCTGAGTTATTCTCTGTACTCTCTGAGAGCACACTCACTCCTGAAAGCCCTTCAGGAGCAAAGTCCAATCCTAAGCATAACTTGTAGTGATGTCTGTCATCAGATCTGCCAAGGTCCAGGCCCATCAACTCCCCTCACCTTGTTCAATGGTCTGAAGAAAACAAACTGCCATAATTCCTTGATTGTAAACTACCGTTATATTTACCCCCACATTAGTGTGATGTGGGAAACACCACCCATTCATTACACTGATTAAGTAAGATGACACTTTTAAAAAGACTAGGATGTCTGGCCTGAGTGAGTACATGTATGTATAGTTTACTCTTAGTTCTGCCCACATATCCTCTTCTGTCCTGGAATGTTCTACCACTTCCTCTACCACTGGTTTCATTGGTACCCAAAGGGTAGCTCTCAAATATCTCCCGACTCCTTTATTCACAACATTGTTGTAGGACGAGTTCTGTGTGCCAGCACCACACATCCTACATGTATCTCCCTAGAAGGCAAAACTCACTTCCAGCTGATTGTTTTCTCACTTACTGAACAGTGTGGGTATCTGCTGTGTATTGGCTTTGGACAAGAATGAGGAATGATTGCTCTCCTGATTTGATAAGCCAGGCTCTAATCAAACAGTTGATCTTGCCTCAGGAAAACTAGACTCATGGACATGGAAATGCAAGCTATATCTTCAGTGTAAGAGCAGGGTTGTCTTTTCTTTGAAAACACCAGAATTCTTCCATTATTTGGGGAAATGGCAGCCACAGTAGTTGGTGTTACCATAACTTTACACCCTTTAGTGACACTATCAGAGAGAAATCCAAGGGAGGATATTCAAAAGCAAATACTGTCCCACCTGCCCCATACTTCAGAAACCAGGAGACAAAGAACATTCTTGGATGACTTCCACCAGTTGTCTCTGGGCTCAGAACCCATACAAAAGGCCAATGTTTGCTGTACTTTTTGACATGGAAGGACAAACCAAAAGACAGAATTATTACCTTAAGGACATTGAGGGATAGTAGATATTATTTTTTAATCCTATCTTTAAAAAGAGGTTTACTGGGGCGCCAGAGTGGCTCAGTTGGTTAAGTGTCCGACTTCGGCTCAGGTCATGATCTCACGGTTCGTGG